AGCCTGCTCCAGCAGAGATCTCTCCAAGAGGGGTGGCCGTCCTGAGCCCAGGCACAGCAGGCTGGGTGTAGTGTATAGAGAGTCACTAGTGGCTGAGCTCTTCTCTGCTCTTGGTCTCCCAGCACAAAGCTGAGGAGGTTCAGGAGGTCAAGCCAGGCCGGAGCAATATGGCTGTGAGACTCTTGCCTTCAGGAAACAGAAGGCTGCTGCTCACATGGGGAGAGACAAAAGAGTAGCAGGGGGCCTGGGCCTCCAGGATGAAAAGGCTCTTGGATATCTACCAGTACTGACTTCTGATAGGCCTCTCTGCAGACAGCACAGCTTTTGGACTGGCCTGCAGTGGGAGTTACAGACTGAAATCTTGAGACTCCCCGTTTGCTAGGCTGGATGGCACCACCAAAGCCAAGAGGAAAGGACAAAAATTGCTTTCACCTACATACTGAACACAGTATCATAGTGATCTCTGTCCTCATCAGTCACTTAACATGGCCAGACCTGTTCTAACCCATCAGGAACAGCTCATGTTTTATCCAGGACTGTCCTTATCACTTGAAGATACAGCACACACAGTCCTGACCTTTCCTCTCTTCCTCAGTGACACAGATCAAGCTCTGCTCAGAACTATACTGAATGCCCATCCTTGGAGGCCCAGGTGGGTAACAGATGACTTTGACCACTCACCTCATGTTGGAGGCCAAGGGAGTGCTGTCCCCCGAGCGGCAAGGGCTGTGCTGAACACCCTTCCCTCGCCTCCCTCGCTCCTCCCTCGCAGTCCATGGAGCATCTGTGGCTGAACTGGTCCCAGAGTCTGGCTCCAAGTGAGCCAGAGGAGCAAAGTTCTCTTTGATCAGCTTGGCGCTGTCTCGGATCTGTCCCTGTACTTCTGGAGTGAGGGTTGGGAGGTCGAAGGTAAAAACGGTCCCATGAGTGCGGGCTGGGGAGGAAAGGATGTCGATGGAGTCCAGGCTGGTGTAAGATGTGCCTTTGGCTCGATGGGACTCCATGATGCTCTCAAAATGCTTGCTGAAAGAGTCCATGCCATCCTTGGAGAGGCTGTGCCCTAGCAGAAAGGGCACTGGAGACTTGAGCATACCCTGTGTGTCTCGATCCATGACCCTAGAGGGAAAGAAAGTGAGAAGAACTGGTCACTGAGGAGCAAGGGATCAAAGCCCAAAACCCAAAGCCCTGTGCTGCTCCAGAAGGAAACTGGGGAGGACAGAAATCTCCTTTAAACATCTGTGGGATGCCAGGCCTCCAAGGAAAAGTGTCGCCTTCCAAGACATCATGGGAACAGGGACTGCACTAGACTCCCTCCAGACATATGCTTCTCCTTTAATGCACCACAGACCTTGTTCCTTTCGTGGCTCATCCTCTTAAGAAGCTTATGAGATGCCTACTTCTTTCAGTCACTTGACTGGAGGTTAGATCCAATAAAGGGCTCAAGAGCCAGAAGCAGGACATGGCACTTCAGCTCCATTTGAGCCAAATCTGGAAGTGCCCAAATTTTCTGTGTGCCTTCAGCGCAACCTGGCACCTGGAATGCTCTCCCTGAGGCTGCTCACAAGCATGTGGCACCTTCCTCCGCAGGTGTGCCACCATGGTCTCACAGCAAAGTGCCCAGAGGGTGCCTAACGCTCACCTGCAAGCTCTGCACAGAACAAATAAATAAATAAAAATAATAGATTTAAAGCAGGAGTGGGATGCCTGAGTGGTTAGAGCACCTGCAAAAGATTTAGGCTGAGATGAGCCAGGCTTAGCTCGCAAGGGACTGCTCTAACCATTAGTCTATACCTTCCCCGACAAAGCCAAAGCACCATGTGAAAAGTAACATGACGGATGATACCAGAAAGACAGTAGGATACCCTATCCCAAGGGCAGGAATCAAAACCCACGGCTTTGCTCCTCATGGAGACATCCTAAGCACATCCTCTTCTGCTGCCCCATGGCTCAGCTACAGTAGGAAGGTGGGCAGAGATACTTGGGCGGCAGCAGCACTTTCTGCTGGCTGGCCCCCTGTCCCTGCTGGGTCTCACCACAAGGATATTCTGAGGTCCCAGGTTTTCCAGGCAGTTTGTAGGGAGCCTTAAACTCAACTCTGGGCTCGAGGCCCTTGTGTGTTGGCCCACAACCCAAAGGCCCAGCTTAGGCCTGGTAACTGTCTTGTCACATATGAAGCAACAAGGCTCAGCCTGTCTCTAGGACAGGCCTGGGTGCAGCCCAAGGCAAGAGTTTCTAAATCCTGAACCCTTGAATGCTTTGTCAGGTAAATGAGATAAATTACAGCCAGCCTATCAGTCTAGGCATGTGACAGTAAGGATATTTCCAACACAGGGAACATCACTGTTTCATTTGTATAAGCACAAACGCAATCGTAAAAGCCAATTTTACTCATAAGCTGCTATCACCTTATTAAGGCACCAGAAAAGCACTTGTTATGCCACTGTCGTCTCTGATTAAAAGAGAAGAACTGATCCAGCTTGTCATAACATTTGTTATGAACAAACAGCTTTGCACAGAGGGCTCAGAAAATGTATTGCCATTACAAGCACCAAATGACTTTCAATTAATTAGCCTTTGTGCACTGCTCACAAACCACACTCTACTGTTTCACTGGGCTGCAGGCTGACAACCTTCCTGCAGCAGCAGGCCAGGCGGCTTCAGGGGAGCTCGGCCGAGCAAGCAGGCGGCACGAGGGCGAGGGTGAAGGCTGCTCCTGTCAATCCGCTGGCATCTCCCCAGGTTGCACAGTCCTGCTCTGTGCTCCTATCCATTCTCCTACAAGGCACTCAGGGGTGGCTCCTTACAGGCCTGGTCAAGGGGAGAGAGACCTATCTAACACTCATAGACAAGTTTACAGGTGCAACTGCTCACTCGCTGCCCTTGCTGTCTAGCAACCTTCTACTACATGAAGCTAATGCTGCCAACTTCACTTTGCATCTAGCATCTAACAGGAGGGCTATGAGCTGTGCTAGAGAGGACAGCGCCGGCAGACAGAAGGGACCTTGTCCCAGGAGCGGCTAAGGGAACTGGGCTCAGTCTTGTGACCAAGTACATTGTCAAAGTACAGAAAAAAAAATATAGCTGTTTTTCCCCACCATCCAAACTCTGGGAACTATTTCTCCACCCTGAAATACCAAGCCAGCTCTACACAAACCAGCTGAGATGCGGGTTAGTCGCAGTACCACGGGCACAATGCTGCCTGAACATAGTCCTCCTGCTCAGACCCAGCTGCCCTGCCAGCCGCACGCTGCCCAGACTTCCTGGCTCTGGTTTCTGCCAGTCGACTTGTGTCCTGCTCCCATTTGCGGGAAAGATCCGTGCAGAGACACATGGTTGCAAAACAAGGGAAACGCAGCTGGGAGGAGCAGACGTGAAGCCTATAATTAAATATCTGCACAACAGCAATGAGCAGTGGAGTAGTGAACACGCTTCCAGTGCTGGTTGTGGGAACTGGTGCTCGAGCCAGGGCCTTCCTTTCTTGGGAATGGGCCAGGTGGGCAAGCAGGGGAGATGACAACCGTGCTGCATTACACACGAATAGCCCAGCCCCCATGCCAGGGGCTGAGGTTCACCCGTGGGCTCCAAGTAACTGCAGTTGAGCAACCACCGCTGCAGGCAAGCGGCAGGGGAAGGACTCACGCGGTTCTCCCTGCTGGTGCTGCCCAGCGGCCCGGTCCTTGGCAGGAGGGTGAAGAGGAGGACAGTCCTCTCTGTTGAGGGTCTCAGGGGTTTCCTCTCATCACCAACACCCCAAGCCCCCGATTACAGCCCTACCATGCCTTGTTCCTCCTGCCAGCACAGATGCAGCAGGAGTTGCACAAGGGTCCCAGTTCAGCACAGAGGGGACAAGGTTTTACACCATTGCCCAATGGTCCTTCACCTTATTCCCCTCTCAGCAAAGCTCATCTGCGGACAAGCACTGAAGGCTCCTTGCACTCCCCAGGCTCCTTTACCTGCAGCCCATGTCCTGCAGTTTGCCTGCTGTTGAGCTTCAGTGTCATAACCACAACCCATGCTCAGCCACGGGCGCTGGGGCAGCCGCACCTCACCTGGCTGCTCACTCTCACCTGCCCCCTTGTGCTACAGTCCCTCAGTCCCCCTCCTCACCCATCACAACATATCGGCGTCCCCTGGCTTTCCCGGCCACCTGGAAGCGGGGGGCCTTGGCGCGGGGCGGCTGCCGCCGGCCCCGCGCCCCGGCTCTGCGGCCATGCAGGGCCCTGCGACTGAGGCTCTGCCGCGGCGCAACGCGAGAGCCTTGTGGCTACCGAGGCAGGTTAAGCAGCAGGCTTAAGCATTACGCTTAAGCGCTTGATTAAATCGTCGCCTTAAGCACTTTTTAATCCCCAGCAAGGCTTGCCCTGCAGCTATTTTCTCTGTGCAAGTAGCAGATTTTCTAAACATTTTCCTGGTCCAGACTGCTCCAGTGGCTAGTAGAAAAGACAGCTCTGCCTCCTGCCACCCCTGTGCCTGCCAGAGGTCCTGGGGACCACGCTGCAAAGCCCTCTGCCCCTTATCTGCCAGGCCACGGGTGCCGCGGGCCACGCTGGCCCTCCTGGGCGTCTCAGCTCCCCAGGACTAATGGGACTAAAGACAGTAAAGGCTTAGACTAGTCATTAGAGTGGTAGATCTGACTCTAAATATATTCAGCAAGCAGACTGGCTGGAAGACGACGCTGCTTCTTCTGTCACTTTTCTTCACTTGTTTGATTTTGCACTGGATTTTTTGGACAGACATCCTGCCTGCTGTTAGCTTGCTCGCTTACTTTGGGGTGGTAAATCACACAAGATGCTCTTTACACAAAATATCAAGGGCAACAAGATAGCATCAAGCCAAAATCCCCGTTGCAGAGGATGATAAACCCTTAAGGCTAGATTTTCAAGGGGATTTACATGCCTAGATGCTGTGAATTAGCCTCCAAAGGGAATTGGGTGCTTCAATAATATTGTGGGGTTGGCTCTTCCCAGCTACTAACAACCTGCTGTGCAGAGCAACTGCTGGGACTGCATCCCAAAACGCTGGCCCCTTCATTAGGGCTGGCCTGGCTGAGAGCAGCTGCGCAGCTGCTGGGAGGCTGCTTTAATCGCCCCAGCATTGCCACCTCTGAGCAGGCGAGGCAGAAAGCTTCAAATAGAAAACATCATTACTGGGGACTGGCAAAGAGGAAGGAGGACTGCAGCTGCAGAGTGCAGAAACAGTGCAGAAGCAAAATAAATAAATAAACAGGCTGCAATGTAGATATGAATCAAGCTCACATTTCTGGACTTCTGATTTTCAAAGTGTTGTCCACAGAGTCTGAATCTAACTGGGGAATGTTCTGGGGTTTGCAAATGCAAAAGTCTGAAAGACACATGGCAAAGAAGTCGTATAAAAGGAATGTGACACCTCTATATACATATTGGTAATGGGACACAGAGCACTGTGTTTGGGAGCAGCACTACATTTAAGTATACTCCAAGATTTCTAGTACTGCCTGGGGAACTACAAAAAGGCGTTGCAGGGGACAAAAAGCAGGTCTAGGGGCTCCTAGTACATGCTTGGAAATAAAATAAGGCCGTATAAAATAACTTGTGTGCAGCAATAATACTATCACTTTAAACCTTCAAAACTGTCACAAATTTGTTTGGATAAAAGTACATTTCCTCTTAAAATCACTTTCCGCTTTTCTGTACAATCCTATGTTTTGGAGGAGCAGGCAGGAGGCAGGGAGAGACATACCTGTCCCCTCCGCTAGCGAGGGGGGGGCTGCAGGAGCCCGCAGCAGACCAGCTCTCCCCATGAAACACACACACATTTCAGCACAAGGACTTCATGCTTTTCTTTCCCAGGGCAGGGGCACCCCTATGGGACCTGGAGTTATTCTCTTATTATCTCTTTTTCAATGCTAACATCAAAAATATCCCCATTCGCTCTCCTTCATCTACCTCGCGCACAGCGAGGCCCGCAGGTGTGTGAGCACGCGCCCTCCTGGCTCCTCACATGTGGCTATCGCCAGCTTTGCTGTGCCCAGCAGCCCGCAGGTGCAGGTGAGACCTCCTCTCCTGACCAAATCACTGCTCACGCAGCTCGTCGCCTGCCCTCAGGCCAGCCTCAGCAGGGCCAGCACCATCCATGGGCTCTGGGTCATGCCCTGAGCCTCTTCTCTCAGCCTCCTGCTCTGCCTGTCCATCTCCCGAGCTCATTCATTAGTCACATGGGTGTCTGACTCCACACTCCAGTAGCCCGCCAGGCTACAAGGCCCCATCTTCCATTGGGCTCACATCCTGGCTGCCAGCGCACAGTGCAGGACAGACAGCACCTCAGGGAGATGAGCTGGCCATGTGCATGGGCAATTGAATGACAACCACAGCGTCCTCTGCTGTCATCAGTGCCCCGTTAAAGAATATTTTGCCATGCAAACAAAAAATGATGCCGAAAACAACAGTACGGACAGCTTTCAACAACAGACAGCTTTCCTGAACAGAGCAAATAACCAGTGTGACCAAGCAAGAGAGTTCCTGCCGTGCCACCAGGGCACAGACATCTGTGGAGGACAGCGTGGCCACTGTCTGGCAGCACAGAGCACCACCGAGGCACGGCGTGAACTCAGATGTCCTAGTGCTGTCACCTGAAGGCCAGGCAGGACAGGGGAGGCAAGGGGGGATTAACCTGGCAGGGAAGCCTTGAGCTGTGGCTCAGGCAGGTGACCTGGCCTGCAGGTCTCACCGTGTAGGGGCAGATCTGTGGCACGGTGCCCTGTGCTGAATCACCAGCACTGGCCGCCCCTGCCGGGCGGCGAGGGCTTCCCCAGCCCTGCCCAGCACCATGGCCTCAACTCCACTGCCCATGCTGGCCTGGCCCTCTCAGCAGGGCCCCTTTCGCCACACACAGGTGATAAAAGAGCAGGCAAGAGGAGCTCTCTGCCCTTATGCCCACAGCCTCACCTTTGCCCGCTCTGCCTCGTCGCTTCAAACACCTCGTCATCCTCATCCACCTCGCCGTCCCGCACAGTCACACCCTCGCCCTGTTGCTCGGTGGTGGCCTGGGCAGGGGGCTCCTCCGGCGTGCTGTCCCTCCTCCCCGGTGTGCCCGCAAAACTTGGGTTGCTCTCGCTGTCCTTCTGGCTCTCAATAGCCGAGTCTACCTCGTCCTTCTCAGCCAGGATGTCATCGATGTTGGTTTCGCGGTAGCACCTCAGCGGCACGGTGTCCAGGTCTGTCTCAGAGTACTTCACCGTCCTCCTTATAATGCCGGTCTCACAAAAACCAGGCTTCTTGCAGCCCGGAGGAGACATCTCTATCTCCACCTCCACGTGGCTCAGGCTGTGCTCGGCCACCGGCCTCTGGGGCTCCATGGGCAGCACGTGGCTGGGCTGTGGCGGGGGCTCGGCCGGGGCGGTGGGAGCCTTTGGGACAGAGCAGCCTGCAAGAGAGCCCAGAGCACTTAGGGACAGGGCCCCTGGCCTTGGGGAGGACACCCAAGGTGCGCCAGGGAAGCTGCTGTTGCGACACTGTGTGCACGCTCAGAACAGGCTCACACATGCAACGGGGCACCCAGGAGAGAAGAGTGAGCCTGGAGCAAAACGAACATGTTGGGAGAGGCAGAGATGGGATGGGGTGGGCTCATGCTCACGGCCTGCGCTGCACCGTGGGGACATGTGCTGTCCCGGTTCCACGGCTGGTCCTGATCATGGCAGGGGTTTGATTCTGCACACACTGAGCCGCCAGGATCTCCCCTGCCCAGGGAGGGACAACCCCAGAGAGACAACCCTCTCACCTGTCCTGGGAGTGTCCAGAGCACCATAGAAGAATTCCCACTTGGCCCTGGCGACGCGCTGGGCGTGGGCCGAGCTCTCCCGGGGGTACGCCCACGGGCTTCCCTGCGGGACACAAGCGCAGTGAGGGACACAAGTGGGAGGACCCAGAAGAGGCACTGCAGCCACCAAGCTCCGCAGAGCCAGCACCTACCTGGAGTCGAGGTTCGGAGTTCAGCGGGCTCCTGGCAAAGGGCGCCAGCTCCTCTGGGGGGGTCTGCAGCCCGTTGGTGAGAGAGCTGAAGAGGCAGCTGGTGTTGAGGGCGCAGGCATCCCTCCCTCTGGGCTGTGCATCCCCCACGGCCCTGCCCCTGGCCAGCAGTGGGTCAGACACGGATGCCTCAAGCTTGAGCCTGTGGACGAGCCGCTCCTGCAGCTTGGGCTGTGCAGGAGGGGGGTGCGAACC